AAGGCGATAGCCGTCACAGGATGAATGAAGAAAACGGATGAAAGAAAACACTTCAGAGACATGTTTTGTATATACCTGAGAATATTAATGTATTGATGAAAAAGAGTACTATAGGGCAGGGGTTCCCAAAATTTTTTCATTTTCGCACCTATACCTAGTCATATTATTTCATCCAAAACATACAAAATAAATCAAAAATTGGTTAGCATAAGATCTCAGCCTCTCGTGCACAGAGAAAGTTACCGGTGTGCCAATAGGAAGTGGAGTACACAGGAGACAACCGTTTAATCGCAGACTGTTATGTTTATGTGGGGAAATGGCAGTGCATACATTATCTGAGATATATTTCGAACTCGGACTTCATTTTAAGGACATTGCGGCCAGGGGTGTAGAGCTATTTTTGTATTTGTAAAACCTCCTTCACTTCATGAAATGGCTGCAGCATCAGGAGGCAACCTCTGAGAAGTGCAGCACCAGCGCGTACACACCGCCTTCACTGTGTTCCCCACTGCAGGCTGCTACGTTTCAACCACACACACCTCTACACACAATCACATCGAACGGCCCGATTATTCCCCCTATTACTCGTTGTATGAAGGAAATGTCCGGTCACAAAGGCGCATGGTGTGTGTGTGTGTGTGTGTATGTGATCTGCTCAGCTCCGCTGTGTGTGTGTATGTTCGGTGTGTTTGTGTGTTCCCAAAATAAATTAGTTTAATCTTAATCTCGATGTAGTGCTAAATGCTGTCGGAGTGCACCGGAACGAACGCCCCGGTATGAAGTTATTATGGCTGGCAAACAAGCCCAGGGATTTCACTGACATTTCCGTTATATCAGTGGTCCTAATGTGTTTTAATTGTATCCTGGTTTTAAACTGTGTCAATATGATTTGGATGCATATTGTTCCATTATTTGTTCAGGCTGTTACATACAATTAGCCACTGTTGCCACCTATATTTGGCTATATTATGTTATATATTATATTAATATTTGTAAAGCGGTCCTAATTTTTTGTTTTAATTGTATCCTGGTTTTAAACGTTTTTAATATGTTTTGGATATTGGTATTTCTTCAGGCTGTTAAATACAATTAGCCTCTGTTGCCACCTTCTGGTGAGTAAATATTCAAATCAGTTAAAATTGACAACCGGTCCGCACATTTTTTTTAATGTATCTGCCGGTCCTTGGCACAATAAAGGTTGGGTACCTCTGCTTTAGATTGAGTGGCATGGGTTTATACAGCTTTGAACTTGGGTTTTCTTTGTTGAATCTTTTACTTTTTACCTTCTGGATTGTTCCTGTTGAGCCAAACACAGATTAGCTGGATTCTTGCAAATAACAAAAAATGCGGGAACACAGGATGATTAAAAAAATCCATATTGTCAGGCTTCAAGTGGCACCTTTGTGTCCAAATCACACTGCTACAGAATGCTACAGACCAATCAGCATCCTGTGATGAGCTACTATTAGATATGGACTTGGTTGAGGTGTCTGTGACGCCACAACAGTTTGTTTAAAACCACAATAGGTTGCATCCAATAGCATCGGTTTTATCCAAACTGAATAGTATTTCTTCATTGAAAGAAGGTCAAAGTATGAACTGAAAGCTTTCCCGACTGGTTTGATTGACCATTATTTAGGTTCTGTGTATTAAACCAAGTGTCACGTCAGGTTCATACAGAGGGCCATTTACTTGGGTGTGACATGCTGTACTATTAAATGTCATATTGTTGTATCTGACAATAGAACAAGAATGGTATTGTCTCACTATACAGAGGGTGTGGAGGGTGTGGTGACAATTCTCTGAAGTATTGTCACCAAACTAGCTCAGATACACGTCATGGATCCTTAATTCTAGCTTTGGCCGCTGCTAGCAGGATGGACCGACCACTTTGAAAAGTTCCAGCTGGTGTGTGAGTGCATGTTTGGAAACAGACTGTATCAAGAATGAATAAAACATTAAAGTTATCTGAAGTGATAATGACCATGTAGCCATGACAGTGAAAACTTGTTCTAGCAGTTATTGCAATGGTATGTGGCAGTGTTATGCAAATTCATAATGATGGGTGTGCATCTGCATGTGTGGGTAGCATTGAACACAGATCAAAACAAAGGAGCTTTCACTGCGGCCGCCCCTTCATTCTGGGATGTCACGACCTGAATTTGTTTTCTTCATTGCCTCTGGTGTTTGAGCTTCACTTTCTTGTATGGGTCTACGGTCAGCGAGGGTTCTCATGAGCTTTTTTTTTACTTTAAGGATGCACACTGTCCTCAGGGAATGCAGCTGGATGAGTCTTCACAGCAATATATATAGACTCAAGTGTGTTGCATCTGGCTGCATGGGAAGTGGGAGGAAACAATCTCTACCAAATCCTAGCTGGAAATGTAGGAATATGAGCACTGGCCAAAACATCTCCCCTGGGTGTGGCTGTATGTGGGACGCTGCCTCTTTGGTCCTTGTGAATGTGTGTGTGTGTGCAGCAGCAGGATTTAGACACCCCGCCCAGGCCAGATGACATTTAAAATTCTTCTAGAGAAGGCTGAAAATGGCAAGGAAATGATCAGTTGGATGTTCTTGTGGTTGTTAAACACATATGAACCAGTCTCCTCGTGTTGTGAATCTCCCTTTTCCAAGCAAGCCAAGCAAGCCCTTCCAGTTTAAATCCCCAACTCTGCCCCCTTTCCCCCAGCTCATTAGGGCTACAAAGCCACGTTGCCCCATCTACCTTCTGACCCCTCGCATGACAGGATTTAGTAAAACAAAAAAACAGGCTGAGGCCCAGAGAGAGTTTTAAATTAACCCTTTAAAGCTACAGCGGTATTTCTCTTCTGAGTAAATAGCTTGAAGGAATTGAATTCCTCCATCTCAATGCTTTTTTTCAATAGTGCTAAAGTTAGTTTTTTTTTACCTTAGGCAGTTAACAAGTTTGTTTCACTTGTTTTACTGCGTATGGGGCTAAAACAGCCGAGTGCAACGCTTTTTTAATACTGTGTTAAAGTTGTGCCGATACAGAAAACTCTTCAGTTGTGTTTTTTCTACCTAGAACATTTCTGATCTTTTACAAATTGTTATTTTTGTATTTTTCCGATGTTGCATAGAGTGGTCGGTAGAGATAGACAGGGCAGACTGGGAGAGACCTACTGTAGAAAAGGGACAGTCAAAGACAGGCTACTGTACATGTAATGCAACTCTACAAGGAGATTAAAAAAAAAAATGTAGACATGGGAATCTACTTTTTCCAAGGGTGGAGGCCTGTGGAAATGAGGGAGATCCGCTTTTTCCATTTCTTTCTCTTCAATTTTGGTAGGACCACTGACTCATCTGCTCTGTATGCATATACAGTACTCTTGTGAGGGGGAACCACTTCTGGAAAGATCTTTTGATGAGAAAATTCATCCTAAAACACATTTTAAAGCAGCAGTAATATCCTGCATTTTGTGGTCCTGTAAACTGCTGTGTTTTGAGATAATAATCATAGGGATATTTATCATTAAGTAGGGCTGCACACTTGGGGCCAAAATGAAAATCTATGACTTCATAGTTGTTGTTTTTTAACCAGTAGTCACACCAGGGATTTTGATATGACATACCATTAACAAATGTTGTGTGTATTTGTGTGAGGCACAGATATGTTAATGCCAGTGCATAATCACACTAGCATGGCTTCATTCAAGCATCTTGCTGGCGGATGCTCCTGGAGTGTTGTGGGAGGATGGGATGACAGAAGAGGACGCCTGTCTCTGGCTTCATGACTGATGCAGCGGAAAGTCCCCTCTGCTCTCTGATTCCTTCAGTCACTGCCAAGTCCAGCCTCACCCCACCAAAGTCACTCCTCTGAGTTGTGACCAGCACACCAGCGGCTGCTGCGAGTCTCCAGGGAGGGAAGTAGATTTAACACAATCAGACTCTGGAAGTTGGTCACGAGTGGTCCGGGTTGGTATTCCTCCTTTACTTCCTCTCAGTAAAGAAAAGGATAAAGGGAAAAGAAAACCACAGGAAGCTTAACTTTCTCTAACTGTTTCCCTCCCCCTTCCCCCTCTACTCTCTTCTCTCGCCATATACCCTCTCTGTGGGAATACAGTTGTTTGTTCAGTTGTCCCTCATGGACTAAATATGTCAATGAGCAAATGGACTCAGGCCTTTGCCCTGTTCCACTACGCTGGCTCTTAGACTTGTTTTTAAATGTCAGCAGCAAAGCCTCTGTCTTGCCCCTTGCGACTTGCATTTCTTTGGAGCCGTTTTTTTGTTTAATTGTCAAAGGTTTCACTTTCATGTAAACAGTCGCAAAGGAAGTGGCTGCCGTGGCCCAGGGTTTGTTTAAGGGTTTAGGTCACCTTAGATGATGTTTATCTACCGTGGCTCCCTGCTAGTTGGGAGAATGAGAAATGTTGTCCCGGTCAGTTCTTTGTGTTTCCAGGGGAGATGCAGCTGTCACTAGCAGCAATACATATGGCCCACTCACCTCTACGTCACCTGTCACTAACCTTTTAAATGACACCCTGAAGAAGTCCCTGCTCTTGTCACTCACTTTTCTCCCCCTCCTGTTGAGCGTGTGAGCATGTGTGTGATGTCAAATCTGACAGCGCCGCCCAGCACCCCAGATAAACAAACCCAGGGTACTCAATAAGTGATCTCGCACCTCTACTTCCTCTTTGTCTTTTCTCTGTGTCTCACCAGCGCTTCCTGTTCCGGATTTGTTTTTCTTTCTGTCTCGCTCTTTTTTTGTTGTAAAAATACCTGCATTCCATAATGAATTTGAGTAAGTGGATGTCGTGGAGAAAGCGTAACTTTTTCAAGAGGAAAGGGAAGCCTGAAAAAAGCCTTGATCTAGGTGAGTGCACGAGAGCACATCGGTAGTGTATCTGTGGAGAAGTGTAACAATGATTCATTACAGGAAACTATGCTGTGTTTGCACTAATCTCACACAGTGATGAGCCAATTTCTCTTTTTTCAGAAGTCGAAAGGTCTGACCCAATGTCCCAATATGGCTCTGGTTTACTACGGTTACTCCGAAACTAATCTGAACATAGAAGCAGATGATTGTCACTGATTTTTATATGACAGCACTTTTATTTAGTAACTTCAGTGACAGTTTTATTATTTGTATTCTTCTTGTTGCTATACAAAAAATAATTATATTGTGTGTGTTCACCACTCAATCTTCATATGTTTGTAGTTTCATATGATGATATTTTTAACAACATAACCTGCAACCAGCTTGTCAACCACAGCTATTGGGTTATGTTTTTGATGTTTCTCATTTCTAGATATATTTACTAAAACATTGGTTCCTCTTAAGATGCAAAAAAGTTAAATACAGGTTATTGTTTTGGTCATAAGACTATGGTCCCATTTTCTTTTTTCAAAAAGGCTCTTTTTCCATATAATTGAACTGTTCACCTAAGGCAACTTTTTTTGGTGAATCTCTCCATTGTTGGGTTTGTTTCTCTAACTGTGACAGCTTTTAAAATCCCTGCAGTGTTTTATGAGCCCATATCTGAGCTCACATTCTGTGTTTTGTGTTGCTGCAACAGCGCACAAGGTGAAACATCTCCATGTAAGGATAATCCTGATTCATGTGGGATTGGATCTGATGTTGGCTGGCGGCCGTTGTTTCCCAAACTTGGAGTCTGGTAGATTTCCAGAAAATGCAGATCAGAAAGTTAAAGCCTCTCCCCCTCCCCACATCACATCCACAACAATCTTGTGTTGTGTCTGCGTTTGTGCGTGATCTCTGGGTGAAATCTTCTTTGTCTCTTATTCCCATCGTGTCACGGCACATGATGCACTCTGCCCTATAGCACGCAGGAATGGTAACGAACAGTGTGTTTACCTGTGTTCATCCCCCTATCCCACGATGCATTATCACTCCCCACACTAGGCCTGCCCTGTCCTGTTCTTCCCCCAATCTGTTTTCCTTCTATTGGCAGGGTACCTCTTTCCCTCCCCTCTCTCTTTGCTGCAGCATTCCTCTGATCTAGTCCTCCCTCGCTGGTCAAGGAGCAACAGAGGCAGAGGAGGAATGTCAAACTCTGTTTTGCGCTGATACTCTTGGACTATCGACTTTTTTGTTTGTTGCTTTTACTGCTTCCTGGTTCTGGATTGTTGCGGCTTATGTTAAAATATGGCAGAGTATGGGCTACAACTCAGAGGTAGGAACTTTTGACAGGTGTATGACACATGGCTTGGTGGCTACAGGTGGGGCAGTTAAGTGTGGTGGACTCAGTCTAGAGACATGGGGTCAAATAATATATAGATTCAATGATTATTTCTCAATCTGATGAAGAATGGTGCAAGCTTTGAACCAATTAGATCATGTTATGAAACCCAAAACATTTTGTATGGAGTATTTTTTCAGAAGTTTCGACTTAATGTTAAACATGCTTTTGTGAAACTCTAAAGTTGAATCTTCCACTAAGCATCCATTATTCATTTTACAAGCCACTTGTTATACCTGTGGTTAGCTTACTGCTCCTCACCCTGCTCTAACTTCAATACATTCCATTACCCCTCACCTCCTCACCTATCCTTTCTAACCCGTAATTACACCGATGCATGCACCACAGAGGCGTTTTTCAGGCTGCTAAATGGGGATATGGGCTAATCTTTCTGGACGTTCAAAGTGTTTTCATTACAAATTCCCAGATGTTAGCGAGGGAAGAGTGTCAACAATGCTGTGCTGGCTGGGACAAGCTTAGACAAGTGACCTCTGAAGGGAGGGGGGAGGAATGCATGAGGAAATTATAGGAATACTATGCATTCCTGTCAACCTTCACAGTCAAAATAAAACACATCTCTGCCATCAAACTGTAAAGAGATTGAGTTTTACGTGCACTTATTTGTGTGTACATTTAAGGAGGGATTTTAAGTTGAGTGATGGACAATGGTTGGTTGGCTTGAAGGCCAAACAGTGTGATTGTTGTACAGTGTGTGTGAATTAGTGTCCTCCAATAGGCTGTGGGTGGTGCTGAAAGACAAGACAGCCAACAGCTGATCTCCCTTCCAAACTCCCATCGAGGTGAAGTTCACCCTGGGAAACTTTTTTATGAGTGCAATCTCTGCATAAACGTTGTTTCATAGCCAAGAAATAATACGCCGTCTTTAATTTTTCACTACCAATGATCTAGGTGAAGCGTGCATGAAAAAGTTTATTTTTCTTGCAGTGACTTTGAGTACCGTGACTACTTCTGAACACAGACCTGGAGCTTTTATTGGCACTTAAACTTTCACTCACTAATCGTCAGACCTGGCTAAATGTAAGGCAATTCGGTTATCCATTCACTGGCCAAGCATGCAGTTTTAAAGCTTGGGCGAAACAATGATTGGGAAAAATCTAGAAGAGTTAGCTGTTAAATATAACTTGGCTAAAGGTAATTGCTGCTCAGTGGTGCGGCTTAACTTAGTAAATATCTCTATTTGTCAAAGCGCTGAGCCCTCACGTTTACTGTGTGATGCTGCCGTGGAAACCCTGATGGTTTGTTTGATTTTCACCTCAGTGCCTCCCACCGAGTCCCCCCTTCTCCCTGCTGTGTGGTCACAGGCTCTCCACCTGTGAGGGAGAGAGGGCTACACTAATAGACTGCATCTGCTGTGTGTTCCCAGCTGGCTGCTAGAGGAGCATGTGTGTCTGTGATTTTTATCTTGCCAGGTTACATCATGTTTTCGAGGTTTTTTGTTTATTTAATGTTGGTCAACACTGGGTCAAGGGTTTAAGTACAGCCGGGCAGTTGGATAGATCATGGTCATATTATAGAAAAAATACACTTTCTTTTATGGTTTTGAAGAAGGTTTAATCTTTTTTAACAAAGTCTTAAGTGTTAACAGAAAGTGCAGCAAACTGGAGAGAATTCATATTTTTGTTATGAAGGGAAACCTGCACAATACTCACGTGGTGAGCGTGTGCATGTGTGTACAGATCAATGACACCAGTGGGAATTTACTATTACTGATAAGCAGTGCTTCCTGTTTGGCTGTTGAGGAAAAGAAACACTCTGCATCACAGTGCTAACTCTAATGTACGTGAGTGTGTTTGGTTCAGTTATGGATTGATCGGTTGACTATGTGCTCTGCAAACAAATGATCCTGTGACTTTCTTGTTTCACTGTAGACAGTTTGTTCACTTGAACTTACTGTACGGATAGTTATCTTTATAATATGACAAAGAGACCCATAAAGACTGGTTTACAGTCAAAGCTTTACTAGATTGTTGCCAGTCCTGATAACCTTTCAATAGTATTTCCTCAGTAATAATTAACATTACCGGAAGGGAGTTTATTTATCTAAACTATTTGCTTTTCTCAATGCCTCTAGTGTTACGTATTTTTGGTTCTTACAAATACCGGGGCAAGAATATATATTGGCAGGCTTCACTAAGCAGCAGTAGTGGACTCAATGATAAATGAAACAGCCAGGGTGTCATCTTGAGCTGCACACAGCAGACAAAGAATCCTAAAGGTACTAGATCAAGACTTCAATCAATCAATCAATCAATGTTTATTTATATAGCCCAATATCACAAATGTTACATTTGTCTCAGTGGACTTCACAGTTTGTACAGAATATCAGTATGACAATACGACACCCTCTGTCCTTAGACCCTCACATCGTACAAGGAAAAACTTCCAGAGAAAACCCACAGTTTAAAGGGAAAAATGGGAGAAACCTCAGGGAGAGCAACAGAGGAGGGATCCCTCTCCCAGGACGGACAGACGTGCAATAGATGCCGTGTGTAAATTGAAAAGATAATACATTTGCAACATAGGTAGTCCAAATGTTTGGAAATGCATGTGTGTATAATAGGAAGATGAATCCACGAGTATATCCATCCAGGACTTATGATCCAGGACCACAGCCACGGCTCAAGATCCAGGACTCGCAATCCATGACACAGGACCGCAGGATCATCCATGATTCCGGATCCCGGCGTATATAGACACCAAAAAGAAAGAAATTTGGGGAAGCTGGGTTAATCGGAACATGAGAGTACACAGGTATAGACAGAGAGAAGGAAGAAGTAAGATGTCCCCCGACAAACTAAGCCTATATCAGCAAAACTAGGGGCTGAATCTAATCAGCCCTAACTATAAGTGCTTTAACAAAAAGGAAGGTCCTTAAGCGCACGCTCTTAAAAACGGATAGGGTTGGT